GAAAACAACTTCAACAAAAAGTGGCACCGCTTTCTCAATGTCTTAATGCTTCGAAAACACAGCCTTTGGAAAATAACGGAGCCAGGCTAGTCATCAACGTAATGACCTAATTAATATTTCTTAAAGCTACGAAATTCGTATTTTATGTTTTCTGAGTTATTTCTCTAGCCGATAGTAAGCGAATTGTGGATACGGGGAGCGCGTTGTAGAGATACACAAAAAAAGACAGAATAAATCATTTAAGTTAGACGAACACAGACGTACACCAATATTTAGAGGAATGGCGTATGTCTGTGTTCGTCCCCCTGAGATATTTTGAGGATCACCAAAAGAATGAAACGCAGGTGGTGGGAGGAGGGACCTCGCACAGAGGGACGACGTAAACTTTCTTTCAACTAGCAACAGGTGTTCTGCTGTGGGTAGGCTTAAGAAACTGTACGTCGTCACTTGTCCCACCTGTGTCTCATTCTTTCGGTGTTCTGCTACTCAACCTTCCAGCTCGTCAGTATACTATAGGTGTATTATTATTTCTTCCTTTGTGCATTGAATCGGCAGTCAGGTTTCCAATTCTAGCATGCTATGTTGCCGAGCATATCTATCTCATAAAATTAACCTGTGTATTGAAATTAAAACTGGCAATATTATTTTTTTTAATTTACAAAATACAGTGCTAGATTATCGCTTTAATAAAGAATAATAACATCAGTCCAGGAGGCTGAAGTTTGCCACGTATGTTTTTTACCGGTATATGGCACAAACATATGCGCTTATTTAAACGCACGCACGTATTTTCCTGGAGCGAAAGCAATCGAACCATGGGCATGCACCCTGAAAATTTAAGTTTTATGATTAAAACAATCTCTGTCATTATGTCAGAAGTGATTAAAGTAAGAAGGTGCGTGCTAAATTAATTATCTTATTGTAAATTTGACTTTTCAAATAGACCCTGACAAGATTGTAAGCATCATTAATTCATTGGTAATTTCACAGCAAGGGTACAAAAAAAATAACATACTTCGTGGCTAAAATCTCTTCCTTTTTTAACCGCAAGAAATAAACGGTGCGCATTGGGTTCAAGAAAGTATCATAGATCTTGTGCATTTTTGAAATCTGAAAAAAAAGGTATATAATCTTCCCAGGGCACTTGCATTTCTAATGATGTTGATCAAATACATACGAGTGCGTATTTATGTTTTAGAGGGGAAAAAACATTTCAATTCAGTTTAACAAAAATAACTATTACATCAAAAAGCATTGCGAATTGGAACACAATGTACCCACTATTTGTTTTATCTAATGATGCATGTTGATGTACTCTATAATTACCACAGCAAAGGGCTCAGAGGGGTTAAGACATGAAGATTAAACGGGTTGATTATCCGTGAAATGGAAAACTCATAGGCTACTCACTATATACACCAAGTTTCGCTATTTTTAGGGCTCCAATAATTGCAAAAAAATTAATTTACAATTTTGTATCATGTTTGTCTGCCGACCGGGCAACACTGACCAAGTTAGTCACACCATGATACCCATAAACCACATAGATATGAACGCTCTTTCATTTTAGGCGCCCCCATGATCGCTCAAGCTCATCTCGCCAGGTCACGATCAAACCTCTAACTCCACGTGTACTCCAACGCTACTCTCGCTCTAGCACCCGGACCTTTGACTTTCCCCCCCTGCATGCACCTGCGAGATCGCCACGGACGACGGCGATCACGGCGGGATTGTCTCTGACGACGTCGCCGTCGCTAGAGCTGGTCGCCAGCGAGGCTCTCCTTCAAAATGACCAGCTTCAAACATCTCTTGATAACAATCTCTCTCGTCGCTGCTGCGATCAGAGTCGGTGATTTTGACCAAGCGAGGGATGCCTTTGGCGTAATTGTTACGAACAACACGCTCGAAACGCGGAAGCTAAACAAGAAAACTGAAGCTCTAGACTTTGAGAGAGCCAAGTCTGTTAGTGCGTTCAAGGGGACTATGCGATTTGGTCCGACGAAGTCCCGAAACCAACAATTCCGGCGACCTTTTAAAATTCGCGGATCCAAGTATCTCGCATATAAATCGGTATATGGACGAAACTATCACGGTATTTTCAACACAAATACATGATAAATATATGAACATACAATGGGTTCTAACAGTATAGTTATATTTTATTTTTGGCGTGGTCTAACGCCTTAACGTGCAGTACCCTGGTTCAAATTCAAAGTTAAAAGTAAAATTCCGCCTTTATGTAAAGGGTCTCACCGGATATACGGTACTCTCTTCCATGTCTTTTGCCTGGAAATCTTCAAACTAAGAACGAAACATATATCAAAAAGATTAACCGCGTAAAAAAAGGCTTCTATGGGTCGAGTTTCAAAGGAAATGAAATGAAAGGAAACGTCATAATCAAAAGCTGGAAACTAACTTTCGGCTGCTGAATCTAAAGATTCAGCAGCCGAAAGTTAGTCTCCAGCTTTTGATGATGACGTTTTCCTTTTACTCAGCCAAAAAATAAGGGGAGTGGTAACATTGCCACTCAAATATATATGTGTCTCCAACAAATCTTCCTGAGTAATGCGAGCGAGAAAAATCGGCGCCTAGAAAGACTAAACTTTCATGGAATGCGCACTACGCTTAGCAGTTTCAACATTAAAAATTTCAAAACGCAACTTTGTTTTTGTAAAAATAATAATAATAATAATGAAACACAACAAGAAGCTCGTTAACAGAAAGCTTGGGAGCGTTAGCAGGCGACCGAGTTAGCGAAACTTTCTTCTTGAGGCGCCATCTTCAAATAGACGGAGCGAGCAGACAACAGGGTGCGTCGTCTGCTCACTACGTCTGTCAAGAGATGGCGGCAAACGCATATAGTATCGGTGACTGGTTATTCTGTGAACGCCCCCACCCTTGAATTTTGAAAGTGTTTTTCTCTAACTTTTTACATAAAGAGAACTGCGTTTTTAAATTTCACACGGTACAAGCTGGCCACCTCAGCGAATATTCAATAAACGTTTGGGCTTTCTATTTGCAGGCGCCAATGTTTCCGGCTTCTTTTACAGAGGAAGGTCCCCTTAGGACACCCCGTATATAAGCAAAAAATAAACTCCCAATTAACACAAGATCAGTCTTGTAATCTATTTTTCGATACCATGATCTTTCCTTTAGGCACACTTGTTTTTTTATGAACAATCGGATGTTTAGAGATGTGTTGAGAATAGGTAAATTCAAATGGAATTGTTCTTTACTGGTTTGAACTAGAGGCCTACCGACGAATCCCGCGCCATTGAATTGGAAAATTTATTCAATGGAACCCGCGAAACGAAAATCACGGAGATAAGCATGGTAAATAAACAAACTAACTTATTATAGTATATTAACCGTTCCAGTTTCTAATATTTTTCTCTGGTCATGGTGTCCTTGGTAGACGGGCAAAGCAGACGGCGATGATGGCCGGCAATCGCAAAAGCGATCTGTTATTTTCAGAGCCAGCCCTCTCTCCGCCAGCGCGAGCCGGCGCTCGACAGAGTTCGAGCAGTTTGGCGCTCAGCCGAGCTCAGGAGGGCCAGTCAGTCACTTTCATTCAGTCAAATGATTCTCTTCTAAGTGCACATTCGCATAAACCACTCACGTGTTATTTACAAGGCAAAGAAAACCGTAAGTGGCGAGCGTTTCCAAACGAACATTACCTGCACACATTTCGATATGTTTAGGCATCATTCCTCAGATTGTCGACCACTCACACACTCGGTGTGAAAGGTAAAGTAACCGCTAATTGCTATCACTGTTCACTTCACCGAACAAGCTGTGATCATCGTATGGTGGTATTTGCCGATTCCATCGCAAGCAGCACAGCTTTGGCCAAGCATTAGCCAATGGCTGGCAATGCTCCTTTGGCCAGTGGCCAGATATTGGACAGCTATTAGTCGATGACTGACCTTTTTGTGGCGATTAGCCAATGGCACTGGCCATCTGCAATTTGCCAGTCATTTTCTGATAAATGGACACTCTTCAGGCATTGGTTAGAGGACCTACGCCAGCCAGTGACCAATGCTTGGCCGAAATTCGTGCTGATTGGGATAGTCGTGGGACATCCTTATATTGGGGTGTATATTGCCACGAATGATAAATAATGAGGTGAAGAATAACTGAAGAAACTAAACGTTTAATGAGGCAAGCTTGTTCCCAAAGCAAAATAGAAGTAAGTTAGCGTCGCAGGCGTGGATGTCGGCGAAACAGCAGGATCGAGCGCTGGAGCGAGATTGACCGTGGCTCGCCACGCGGAGCCCCTTACCTACACGCATGGGCTTCTGGAATAATCGGCATAGAAAGTTCGACGCGTAGAGCATTCGAACCTAGGTCAAGCAACATGATTCTCGAATTTACGAGAACACTTAATTGCAGGAATATACAAATGATGCGTCGCTCCTAGGAATCGAACCCTGGATTTTCGCGTAGGAGGCAGGCACAAGAAACGTCAGGCCACGCATGCTGCCTACTTGGCCAGCTGCGCGCGTGGCAATATGATGGCGTCAACAGTATATCAACACCAAATGTTCGAAAATACTCTACAATAAGGGGGTGATGTTTATACACGCTTAGTGCTCATTTTAATGTGTCAAAACAACACTTCAAATCATTTGGTGCTCTTTTCCGAGCGGATCGTCTGATCGGCTTTTGACACGCTTTGGATTGAAACCAAGGCAAACAATTCAGAGATCGAAGAACAATATATTTCATTAGTTTGTATTACTAAACTGTTTTGTATATTTGCTAACATTTGTCGAGGGTTTTGGAGAAAACTCTTGCTTAGACCGAAGAAAGTTTCAGTAATTATATTAAATATAAATGGGAACTAATTTTACCTTTTGGACATAGGTTAATCAAAAGAATTTAAAAATATTAAAATAATACAATCTATAAATAGAGTTTTATGTTGGACTTCAAGTTGAAGTTTATATGGCGCTATTTAGAAACAAAAAAGAATGGATATAAAAATACCAGGAATTCTCACCGAGACATCGCCTGATCTGGCGGTTTTGCGGAGCCCCTTCTGTAAAAGCAAAAAGGTGCGTTATCCTACACGTCAGACTGAAACGAATAAATCGCTGTTAGTGTCAACAATAAAATATATATGACAATGACCTAAACTAAGAAAAATACGTATGATGCATAGCTTTCCACAATTGTCTTGTGTTCGGAAATGCACATTTAAGTGCATGAGGTTTTTACGCATTTGAACATTTAGAACCTCGTTCACTAATCCCTTCAAAAATATGTATGTTCAGTATCTGATAGTTTGTTTAATTTAGATACTGTTTCCGACCTAGAACTAAATACGTTTCATAAAGTTAATACGAAGGACGAGAACTCCTTCGTATATTAACTTTATGAAAAGTATTTAGAACTAATTTCGCAGTTTTGTTAAAAATAATTTACAATTAAAGTATTTTTCTAAAATAGTTAAATATGTGATGCATCTCTCTCGTGTATGTTGCCGTCTGCGCGTCAACTCCAGTGCGGCAACTAAGGTGTGCATATAAAATGTATGTGTTTAACATAATATCTGTTGATTGAAAGTATACCTCGAATATACTTTGCCAAGTGTCTCCTAAAAGGGTGAAATTATTTTAATTTTTGTATTTCGTATTTTTTCTTGCGCAATATGATAATAAAATCAAATTACCGATTAGTTCACGAGCATATTTCTTCAAGCTCATACACGTTTTCAAAACTGCTATCCTTTCCTAGTCTCATAAATCACCGCTTAGCAACCTACATCAGCAGATAACTACGCCCGTAGAACAGGATGTGCAACATTTCTGTTCCTAAATCTACATTTTCGGCACTCACCGACAGTTGCTTCTAAGCTACAATGCTGCGTATTCTCCGTGTGCACTCCAATATTTCAAAGTATTAGTCACTTCTGAGCAATATGCATATCGTTATTAAAACCGATGTTATTTTATGTTTGGCATGATCTTTTTGGCCTCAGCCAATACAAAAACATGCTTCTGTTTCGGTATTTTGTTCGAAACAATAATATAGACATGGCAGTAATAAATGAACAGAATGTCGTTAAACAGTCAAACACAAAGTAAATCTCCAGTTCTAGATCGCAGTTTCCAACGTTGCACTTTTATTAAACAACAATCGTAAGGATGAAATGTTTATTTGATGTTTTTGTTTATCTATCCATTTCACCCGGGAAGTATCGGTCAAAATTTTCTTCTACGTAATCATTGAGAGAAGTTTTTTACTTTAAGCCGGCTTTTTCAAATCTCAGTGTTTGGTAGTCGTAAAAACTTAGAATATTATAAAAATATTATCATTATCCGGAAGACGATAAAAATTATTTTTTGTCATAAATAACGCTGTTTATTTTAACAAATACGGTGACGATTTCATTAGTTATTTTTAGCTGTTTGTCAAGTGCTATATACACCGAGGACTTTCAGCCATGATCGATTAGTGTGATTCACTGTATATATACTTTCGGACTTAACCGCTCTCACCGTCTTCTTTGATTTTCGAACCTTCTTCTTGGAAGCACGACCGATAGGCGTCCCCCATAGTGGAAACTGCGAGGATAATGAAAACAACTTTAACAAAAAGTGGCACCACTTTCTCAATTTCTTAATGCTTCGAAAACACAGCCTGTGGCAAATAACGGAGCCAGGTTAGTCATCAATGCAATGACCAAATTAATATTTCTTAAAGCTACGAAATTCGTATTTTATGTTTTCTGAGTTATTTCTCTAGCCGATAGTAAGCAAATTGTGGATACGGGGAGCGCGTTGTAGAGATACACAAAGAAAGACAGAAGAAATCATTTAAGTTAGACGAACACAGACGTACACCAATATTTAGAGGAATGGCGTATGTCTGTGTTCGTCCCCCTGAGATGTTTTGAGGATCACCAAAAGAATGAAACGCAGGTGGTGGGAGGAGGGACCTCGCACAGAGGGACGACGTAAACTTTCTTTCAACTAGCAACAGCTGTTCTGCTGTGGGTAGGCTTAAGAAAGTGTACGTCATCACTTGTTCCACCTGTGTCTCATTCTTTCGGTGTTCTGCTACTCAACCAACCAGCTCGTCAGTATACTATAGGTGTATTATTATTTCTTTCTTTGTGCATTGAATCGGCAGTCAGGTTTCCAATTCTAGCATATTATGTTGCCGAGCATATCTATCTCATAAAATTAACCTGTGTATTTAAAATAAAACTGACAATATTATTTTTTTTAATTTACAAAATACAGTGCTAGATTATCGCTTTAATAAAGAATAATAAAATCAGTCCAGGAGGCTGAAGTTTGCCACGTATGTTTTTTACCGGTAGATGGCACAAACATATGAGCTTATTTAAACGCGCGCACGTACTTTCCTGGAGCGAAAGCAATCGACCAATGCGCATGCTCCCTGAAAATTTAAGTTTTATGATTAAAACAATCTCTGTCATTATATCAGACGTGATTAAAGCAAGAAGGTGCGTGCTAAATTAATTATCTTATTGTAAATTTGACTTTTCAAATAGACCCTGACAAGATTGTAAGCATCATTGGTTCGTTGGTAATTTCACAGCAAGGGTACAAAAAAAAATAACATACTTCGTGGCTAAAATGTCTTCCTTTTCTAACCGCAAGAAATAAACGGTGCGCATTGGGTTGAAGAAAGCAGCATAGATCTTGCGGCTTTTTGAAATTTGAAAAAATGGTATATAATCTTCCCAGGGCACTCGCATTTCTAATGATGTTGATCAAATACATACGAGTGCGTATTTTTGTTTTAGAGGGGAAAAAACACTTCAATTCAGTTTAATAAAAAAATAACTATTACATACAAAAAAGAAAAGCATCTCGAATTCTAAAGCAATGTACCGACTATTTGTGTTATGTAATTATACATGTTGATGTATTGCATAATGACCGCAGCAAAGGGCTAAGAGGGGTTAAGACATTCAAATTGAACAGGTAGATTATTCGTGAAATGGAACACTCATAGGCGACTGACTATATACACCAAGATTCTCTATTTTTAGGGCTCTAGTAATTGCCAAAATGAATTTAAAATGTTTGTATTACTTTTGTCTAGCGACCGGCCAACACTGCCCAAGTTAGTCACACCATGATGCCCATAAACCACGCGGATATGAACGCTCTTTGATTTTAGACGCCCCCATAATCGCTCAAGCTTATCTCGCCAGGTTACGATCAAAACCTCTAACTCTGCGCGTACTCCAACGCTATTCTCGCTCTAGCCCCCAGCCCTTTGACTTTCCGCCCTGCGTGCGCCTGCGAGATTTCCACGGACGACGCCGACCACGGCGGGTTTCTCTGTGACGACGTCGCCGTCGCTGGAGCTGGTTGCCAGCGACGCCGCTCCAACCAGCTTCCAACATTTCTTGGCCATATAACCAGTTTCCAACATTTATTGATAACAATCCCTCTCATCGCTGCTGCGATCAGAATCAATGATTTTGACGAAGCGAACAATGCTTTTGGTGTAATTGTTACGAACCACATGCTCCAAACGCGAAGCTAAACAAAAAAAACTGAATCTCGAGACGTCGAGAGAGCCAAGCCTGTTAGTGCGTGCAAGGGGACTATGCGATTTGGGCAGACGAGGTCCCCAAACCAAAAACCCCGGCGGCCTTTTAGAATTGGGCGGATCCGAGTGTCTTCCATATAAATCGATATATCCACGAAACTATCACGGCATTTTCAACAGAAATGCATGATAAATATATGAACATACAATGGGTTATGGCAGTCTAGTTATATTATATTTTATTTGTGACGTGTTCTAATGCCTTTTAGAGCAGTACCCCAGTTTCAATTCAAAGTTAAAAGTCAAATTCGGGCTTTGTGTTAAGGGTCTCACCGGATTTATGGTACTGTCTTCCACGTCCTTTGCCTGGAAATCTTCAAACTAAAAATGAAACATATATCGAAAATATTAACCGCGTAAAAAAGGCTTCTATCAGTCGAATTCTAATGGAAATGCACCCTTTACATTCGGCAGCCGAGAGTTAGTTTCCAGCTTTTGATTATGACGTTTTCCTATTACTCAGGCAAAAAATAAGGGGAGTGTTAACATTGCCATTCAAATATATATGGGTCTTCAGAGAATCTGCCTCTGTAAAGCGAACCAGAGAAAGCCGCGCCTGCACAGAAAAAGAACAAACCTTCACCGAATACGCACTAAGCTTAGCAGTTTTAACTTTTAGAATTTCAAAACGTAACTTCGCTTTTGTAAAAAAAAAATAATAACAATAAAACAGAACAAGAAGCTTGTTAAGAGAAAGCTTGGTAGCGTTTGCAGGCGACCGAGCTAGCGAAGCGTTTTTACTTGTAGCGCCATTTTCAGATAAACGCGGTGAGCAGACAACAGGGTGCGTCGTCTGCTCACTACCTCTGTCAAGAGATTGCGCCAAACGTAAATAGTATCGGTGACTCGTTACACTGCGAACGCGCCCAACCTTGACTTTCGAAAATGTTTTGCTCTAACTTTTTACATAAAAAGAACTGCGTTTTTAAATTTCACACAGTGAAAAACTGACCCCCTCAGTGAATATTTAATAAATGTTTGGACCTTCTATGTGCAGGCGCCAATGTTTCCGGCTTCTTTTACAGAGGAAGGCCCCCTTAGGACACCCCATACATAAGCAAAATTAAACTCACTATTAACACAAGATCAGTCTTGTAGTTTATTTCTCGATACCATGCTCCTTCCTTTAGGCAGACTTGTTTTTCGTATGAATAATCGGATGTTCTGCGATATGCTGAGAATAGGTAAATTCAAATGTAATTGTTCTTTTCTGCTTTGACCTAGAGGCCTACCGACAAATCCCGTGCCATTGGATGGAAAAATTGATCTGATTGAACCCGCGAAACAAAAATCACGGAGATAAGCAAGATAAATAAATAAACGAACTTATTTTAGTATATTAACCGTTCCAGTTTCTAATATTTTTCACTGGTCACGGTGTCTTTGGTACACAGGCAAAGCCGACGGCGATAATGGCAGCACTCGCAAAAGCGATGTTCTATTTTCAGAGCCAGCCGTCTTTCCGCCAGCGCGAGCCGGCGCTCGACAAAGTTCGAGCAGGTTGACGCTCAGGCAAGCTCAGGAGGCCAGCCACGCCGCTCACTAAAATATCTTACGAGTGTAAATTATATATTTACAACAATTTTTTACTCATCAGCTTTATTGCACCCTTCCGAACCGATCACTGAATTTAAACACAAAGGCGAAAAAATAATAGCCTCAGGACGGTGCAAATGCTCCGGCCTACCGATCATGTGAAAAGAGAGCATACTTTGAGCCTACGAACACCGTTTCTAGGAACAATGTCTGTTCACCTACTTTATCGCCAAGCACGCGGTCGTCAATCAATGAGATTCGCGGTGCACGCTAGGCAAATTAAGAGGAGAATAAAACGCTTCGATTAGGGTCGTTGAAAGGACAAGAAACAGTGCGAGGGGCACAGTAGCTCACGCTACTTGCTGCGTGGTACGTTCATCGATGTCCTTATCGGCAATTTCTTCAAGTTGAATTGAATCGAATTGAAATAAATTTATTTGAATTGGCTATGGACTGATACTGAGAGCCCTGGGGCTTGTCACGCACGTGCGTTTCTGAATCGTTCAATCACTGTATTAAAAAAAACGATTTGCAAGGTGGCAATGAAGGAACGAAAACTCAGACTCCTCGTCCCCGTCAGGTTTAAAAATTTTTAGCTGAACCTTGATTTATACCTGGGTTTCTGGCAGGTTTGCTTCACCGTATCTTTCTTGAAGAAGTCTCGCTAGGGCCTGTGTGAGGAAGAAAGGGGACTTTTTGTTGGTGACGGTAAGAGAAAGAAAATACGAGCAGTCGGAAGACTCCGAAACATGTTTTTTTACTATTGTACCCCGTAGATTGCGTTGACAAAAATTACGGCTTATATGTGTTTTTAAAAGTCATCTTTGCTAAGAGTCAGATTTAAAATAAATGAATGCAGCTCCAGAGAGCTGGGTAATAAATTAGCTATAATCCTAAAAAAAAAATACTTCCAAAGTAAAGATTTATACTATACTACAAGAGGTATGCCGTTATTTGTAGGAGATATTTCAAACATATATTCTAAAAAGTATAAAAAAGGCCCAAATTTCCTTCGAGAAACGAGACTTTTGATCTTCAACTCTAAACGTATTTCACACCAACAAAACAGTATTTCTTTTTAGAGCGCAGCTCTCAGGCACCCATTTCCGGCTTGAGCGGCGTCGCCGTCGGCGCAACCGCGCGATGACTATGACGTTGAGGATGACGTCATCGTGATGACGTCATCCTCATTACCACCATCATCGTCATCGCCACTGATGACGTCATTCGTGACGATGACGATGTGGATGACGCTAAATTCCCCGCTAAATTTAGTGGAATTCCCCGCTAATTTCCGCTAAATCTAGTGGCGAAACAACTCCCCACTAAAGTTAGGGGAAAATTGCCCTGCTAAATTCCCGCCGAATTTACGCGCGATGCTCTCACCACAGATGTGCATTTTCTGCGACTTGAGTTAGCAACACATCGATCCACACCCATGTTAGTAGTGGGGGACTTTCCACCTTCTCCCCTCAGAACGCTTCCCTCCTCCTCTTCAAGAGCTGGGCCCTAATTCGGCGCTACAGGAGATTGTAAACGCCTTTCTTTTTTTTTTTTAAATTATCATTGGTGACAATACACAAGGCGGTTCACCAAGAATAAGAACTAAAAATAGTGCTTTGTATATAAAGCAGTGATTCCTTCGCGAAAGCGTTATCGACCGCGGCAGTAATCACGAGACGAGTGTAAAGTCATTGCGAGAAACTAAGTTACATAATGTTTACTAATTACCTTCTAAAATATTTATTTCAGCTGACGCATTCTAATTAAAGACATGACGCCCTCAATAAAAAAATATGCCATAAATTATTATTATTATTAATATTATGAATATTATTATTATTAAGGAACATTATTTTCCCTTTCGATACATAAATGAATCATAAATGTGGTTAGGATTCAAGTAACTAAATACTGGTGCCTGCTATTCCTTCGAAAATTTAAAACCCGAAGAGAGGATATGACAAAACTAGGTGGAAACATAGCTATGAGGGTCCCACCATTTATTAAGTCCGACTTTCAGCGTACTTAGCGGCTGTGGTGAAGTTGGTCTCTCATTCCAGTTTAGGTGCCTTCGTTCATCAGCATGGCTAGAGACATGTAGGCCTTCCTGACTTCGTGAATAACAAATATTGGTGGCTCCGTTGGTATTGGACAGTAACTTCAGCCACCAATTTTTCCGTCATTACTATAACTTTTAAGTTAGGTATATTTGCTCAAACGAATCCCTAAATTATAAGTTTGAGAACAGAAAAGAAACCATGCACAATATTCAGTCTAAAATAAAAACAACCTCGCCCAACAAAAAGAGAAAAAACGAAGGAAAACATTGGGAAAAAAAAGACAGTAGGCACAATTTTTTATTGTAAGTAGAAAGGCGACCATAACAGAAATAACTGCTCTGCACGCGCAGACAGAACTGTGTACTCCGTTTCACCGCAAGTGCAGAAGAAAAAAAAATCTACGAGAGCGAGCTCGGTGTTTTAAAGGGACCTAAAATACATTATTTCGTTTATTTATTTATTTATTTTCTACGTTTATGAACAGCTTGATGCCTCGATAATTATGCACAGCAGATTGATTACAGGTTAGTGACAAACGCCGCAAAAGTTTAATTAAAAACAGTAATATCTACTAGGTCGCGGTTATTATGCGCCGAGAGTATTATACGTGTCATGGGACTGCTTGGAATGATTTGATTAACATGAAGCTTTGAAGAAATCCCCAAACATTTATTCACAACATGAATATTAAAAGCTGATTTTAGATAAAAAAATTAATCCGTGAATACATTTATACAGAAAAACTACATCTAGCGCACGTGGTCTAGAATTCAAAGTAAGGCGATTGCATGGTTTCAAGAGTCTCGTATAAAAATTATAAACAGTGCGACCGATATAACGATCCTTAAGAATTCAAAAGAAACGCCATTGAACATTTTCTATCATCTTTCGAGTCGTAAAACTAATACAATGCCAGAAAACAGAAGAAAACGCTAACTTGGACCGGATTCACGAGAATCGTTAAATACACGTTGACGTTGAGACCTCACGCGTTATTCTTGAGATGAAATCCTGCTCACGGAAAATGTCATTTCTCGCACGCTCGTACAGTCAAAGCATTGACAAAGACAAAACGTTTTTGATTGTGGCGTCAGCTTGGCTTTAATTTATTGGAAACAGAAACAGGGTTCTCTGCAAAAGCGCTGACGCTATACAGATACTTAAAAGACTCTCCATGGTTGTGGCGCCTTTAACCGTCTCACCTCTGCCGCAAAAAAAAAAAAAAAAAAAAGAAAGAACGACGAGAAATTTACACGACGACAGCAACGGCACGCCTGATCTGTTTCCCTCCATTTTGGCAGCTGCCCAGCGTTTTCACATAGCGCCAGTGCAAGTGGTTGTTTGAGAAACGTTCTAGGTTACTAATCATTTTAGCACTTTGTAAATCAAAGTGGAACTGTATCTGAATCATACAAGCGATGAAGGTATACATAATAACACAGCATTGCGCCATTTATCTGGTGTCAGGAATACTAAACGCCGGGCCGCGATAGGGTTTCAGCATCCCACCCGAAAGTGATGTTATCCTCCGCAGCAGGCAGTGATACTAGACTAGCTCAAACGATACTCTCCATTGAACTTGTTAACTGTAGGTGTAGCCCCCCCCCCCCCCCCTCCCCTTGTACACCCCGGCCGGTTTCCAGTCGTTTGACGCGCCATACGTCATGTTTTCCTGCGCAGCGTTTAAATGACGTTTCAGCGTACTAAATGGAACACATAGTTCTGAAATGCAAATCTAGATTGCGCTTTAAACGACGGGAGTCCGGGAGTCAGACTGAAGAGGTGAGGAGGGGTAGCGTCCTTCCGTGGGAGATCCACAACTAATCTAATCTAGTAACGTTGACAGCAAATGCGAGTGGCGATTCACCGCGAGCCGATAAGGGTCAGGTAAACGCCAAAAAGGTGCACCGTACACTATTGTCCCCTCAAACGATGTGCAGCGCCTTCTTTTTTGTGTCTGTGTTACTTTCTGTGCGGACGATTTCAGACGGCCTGCTTCTGCCCAAGAATAGCGCAGGGCAGAATTTAGCCTTCTCAATTCCAGCATCGATTTTACGACGGGCGACCATTTCTTTTATTAGAGACGTGGCAGCTAATGCGAATAATTACTGTAATTAGTAGATTTTTGACATTCAGTTTGATAAATATCCCTATACATCTTCTAACTGGCATAAGAGCGATCGTTATCTCGAGAATAATTTTTTTTATTGTAAGCGCCGTTTACTTTTAAAAAAGGGTATTTATAATCGTTGATTGTGATCTAGACGGAATTCAGAACCGCTCTCTATATGACGCGTCGTTACACTCGTTAGGAGTTTAAACGTTTCAAAACCTCTTGGACAGTACATGGAATTCTAATCGAATCCAGGCAGTGCAGCACCAGCAATTGTGTTGCCCCGTAGAACCAAGGGAACCTTACCACCCTTGCGCGAAGGCCACGTCCGAGACGGGCTGCAAGTTCATCCTCGAATGACTGTAAAATAAATATTCGTGCATTGAAATAAATACCGGAAGAATAACTCTACACATTTTTTCTGCCGACACCGGAAGTAATTTATCATTTATTTATTTGAAAAAAAAAGCATAACACTCAAGAAGGGTCCTTACTTTTATTTCATTGAATCACTAGGATTTTCTAATATATAGGCGTACTTATTGAAGTGCAGCTTGCCATAACACCTCATAGAATGCCGGAAAGGGTGCTTTGAGGTAAATTAAATAAAAAAAAATAAAATCTGCTTGATATTAAAAACGAAGCTATTCCGGAATATATAAAGCCTATAGTGTTCCATATATTTTTTATATTTGCAAAGAGAGGTAGAGAAGTTATATATCTCATATCAATTATCTGATTTTAAGTGTTGATAATTTTAAAGCAAACTAAATCTTACCGATATTTCAACAGCACCGAATACGAAATGTTCAAACACATACGGACTCACCTATAGCAAAAACAAGTTTCTTCAAAATATTTTATGTATTTATCAATTACCATCCAGTAGTTTTAACCATAACCTAAATTTTCTAAATAAAAGTTGACATATTATATTTTTAAAAGTTTGCAGCCGTCGAGTGTATTAATACGCCTATCGCTGACCTGAAAGGACGTTCGCTGACGATACTTAAAAACCAATCGTCAACTCGCTGCGAAACAAAATATAACAATCACAAGAGTGTCTCAAGAAAATGGCCACAGGATATGCTATATTACTAGATATTTCTCGGTCTTTTTTTATTTATTTAATAAATTGTATCATTATTTCAAGGCTGTTGAGACAAACTCCTTCCAATGATCACAACATCACAGAGCATGAAAGGATTCAAATTACTACTTTTAAACTTAAGGCGAGCCAAAACGATAGTCCTGTTAAACTGGAAGTACTACGACAAAAAAAAAGAAATATGCCCTTGATTATTCGGAATTATTCATCGGGCGTTTTATAGACGCAATTTTATCCCGGAAAACAATATGATGGCAACGTATACTCTTTCAGAACAAAATGTATTAAATATCACCTTAGGATCAGCTTACAGTTCATTGGTTGTATTCTTACTTTGGATTCATATAAACAAGCGCTAATTTTGTGTAATATCCAAAGTCGCGTTTT